TGAACTCGTTGAACTATATGTTGATGTGTTGGCTGGTCACCACAATTCATGAATATCATTGATAGAGCACACTTGCGACCATTTTGCAATCTCCTCCAACATCCTCTGTTATTTGGCCTGGTGTGTCTCTCAAAAGGATGGCAACTTGAGCTATCAATTTCATGCTGCAATCAAGCTCTTGACAAGTTTGAAGCCACAGTCAATATGGGCCCAATTGAACCTGCTACAGAGAAAGGGCTGCGTATCATAGTAATTCTCACGATAAGCTCATTAAGCTACAAGGAAAGTTTGACTTGTCCAGTGTATTCATGTTCAGCACTTGATTACTTTCAAAAAGGTCGTGTCACAAAACGTGCTTCTACAAAATTGGGAAAAGATTATCCAAGCTTTGACAAAATCTGACCTCCACTTTTCAGCTCCTAAAATCTGCCCAAACCTAAGTTAATTCTAGGTGGATTTGGATGGAACATTACCTATCTGCTATATATATATATATATATATATATATATATATAAGTCCTCATTGCATCCTTGTCGAAATGTCCACCTCCTCACACTGTTCATAGATTAAGGTCATTTATTGGTGCTTATAAAGAATTTGTCACCTTGTCGAACATGCAACTCTACCCCTCCCCCTTGATTCAGCGATTTCTGGTTGGGTGCATTACTTCAAATCAGCTCAAACATCACTTTCTAATTACAAAATACATTATTCCCCCTCGCATAAAAGACATCCTCTGGATTGTAAGGGATGTCTGCATTAGTCTGGCCTTTGACACTGCACACTTGAACTCTCACATGTGTAGTCATGGTCTCTCTGAGTGAGAAATGTAGATAAAATGTGACCAATTCACTAACAGGTGGATCCAACTCACGAATCAAGAACTCATCCACAATGAACAAGAACAGTATACTACCAACATCCATTCAGCCAAAAATCAAAGGCTAGTACATGTACTACATGTATACTATACTAGGTGATCATGTTTATCTGCATTCAGATATCAACACACTAACTCCCATGCACACAGTGCATTTCTTGTTGACAGCATTGGCTGAGAATGATGCTTGATCAGAAAATTCTCGGTTCTATGTGCTACTTCCTTCAATGTTAAGTGCAATGAATGCTATAAGGTACATAAACACCTGTTTATGAGCAATACACAAAAAACCATGGCTCAAAAACATCAATAGTATTGTTAATCAGATTCTGTGGCCCATTCCTTCATTTTTGTATGTCAAAACGTAATCAAAGACCACCTAAATACTTGGAAGATTATGTAACACAGTTCATCTTTTCTGTTAGCAAGTTCACTGATCTTACTTTGTTGATACTATTCATCATTTTTTTGTTCCTTATTGTTATGTTACCTGAGGTTTGGTCCGAGGTAGAAAGGACTGCATTGTTTTATCCAGTCATTTGGACAATGCACAAGAACATATCACTTGGAGCTATATATAACCCAAACCCAAAGTTCACTTTCACTGGCGAACTGTTGCACATCTTGTTATTCTTGAAATAGCTATGGGGCGTCTGTGGTGTCTTTCACATTACCAAGAAACTGTTTTGGAGATCCAAAAAAGTGTCAGTGTTGAAGATGCATGTCCTCATCTACGCAGACAATTTTTACACCATAAAACACGGGATTCCAGTGCATGCAGAGGCTCTACCTACCACACCAAACTCACTGCACTAAAAATGCAATTCAAAATGACCTTTAGTGTACACTGTCCACAGCGTCTAGATGGTAATGCACATATTGAATATACAGTATATAGCTCTGTAGTCTGTTTGAATGAATTTGGGGGACATGTGTATCTATCCACCCCATACATGAACTACAAATAAGTCAAATAAATAAATCGTACAGAAAAATATTAGACAGGATTCGAACTCCCGTTTACGACAATCACATCGTCACTGCAGGCGAACTACCAGGCCTACCAGGCCAGACTCACTGTGCCTAAAAATGCAGTTTGATATGAGATATACAAGCCTTAGTTGAATCGTGGACATCATAAACAACCTAGCTATGTAGACATAATTCAAGCATACAAATCAATAGCAATACCAGGAGTCATTTCCAGATTACAGCTCAGATTTCTGGTACATAGTACATAACTGTTCCATTTAAAGACTATGATGCATCTGTGTGAATACAACGTAAAAAATGACATTATTATGATTACTCTCAAACATCTTGTCCTGATTGCTATAAAACTGAACTGTAAATCTCAGTTTGACTGACATTAAAGACATTGAACATGATGACATAGCAAAAAAAAAAGAACGATTGACCCCTGACAGTATTATTATACAATGATGATGTTTCAACCAATGCCTGCCATTCATCTTCCACCCTTCACTGTCCTTGAATGAAAGCACACCTTTGACCATCTCAAACATCTACATGCACACTCGAGCAGTACTCGTGGTATGACGTCAATAAATTGGAGTATATAGTGAATGAGCCAGGAATCTTCCTTCTACAGCGCAATTTTCATGTCGTAGACGGGCATGGAGACAGTGCACACTTCAATATAGAGATCTATTTGAAAGAACAGAGAGGACCTCGCCAATCTCTCTATATAGAGCACCATGTAGAGGAGAAATTGATAGTACCATCTTCAAATACAGCTGTCATCGCTAATGAATTTACTACTCTGGAGAAGGCAGTTGATGATCATCCTCGGAATTCAACACATTGATCATTCTTACCCAGACCTTTCATATCATGAAAGAACTTGAGAGCAGCATATTAGGGAACTTGTGCTGCATACCAATTTAGCAATAACATCGTCAAGCAAAGTAACACACCATTGTAACTGCTATGTTACCATCAGTTCCAAACGCTGTAGGCAGCAATGCTTATCCCAGGTATATTCACTGATATACTAGTAATTCAACTACCTGTGACTTAAAGTAAAACACATTTAGGTATGAATCTTAATTTAAGTATTAGAAGCAACTCTACGAGATATTGAGCTGTTATTGCTAAAGTTTAATGAAATCTGAAATGTTATTTCCACATACTGTGTGTCAATACCCCCACTGCATTGTGACCTAATTAGATGCTGGTCTGGGAATTCTAATTGTGTAAACTCATAACAAATCTCCCACAAAATGTTGATTCGAAGTTCCTACCTCTTGTACAACTTGTATACATTCCATTTACTATGAGAATATCTCTGTCACATGTTTCAGTGAAATATTCTATTAATTGTGGAGTTCCAGGCCATTGATATGTACAGTTAAACTATCAGGTTGTCAGTGTTTGATTAGCTGGTTAATGTTACATTTGGGGTGACAGGAACGGACGAAAACAGAAGAGGAGGGGGTATGAAAACTGTTTGTTTGAAGATTTGTGTATAAGAACTAGGTGGGGTTCTGGGAGGTTGGTGCCAAAAACCAATGCGAAGGTACTTATAAGATTGTGTTTGATTGGGTACCTAACACTTAACAGATAAACCAATCATAGAGAAGCGTGTATTTCCAAGTATCAAATGATGTCTAGTATCAAATCCAGGACATATGTTGAGATGTCCAGCTTAAGGTATTAGTTATTTGCAATCAATAGTCATGATTCAAGTTTTCACGTGTCACACCCTGCTTTCAGGCTTCATTTTAGTGACCTTCATATAGTTTAACATAAGGTTTATGATTCAATATATGATTCACAAAATAGGCAATATATCCTTCAATCCCCGGAGATCGAAGTGTTGATATACTGAGTGTAGTTTACAGCGAATATATATTAAAATTTCTTCATACGTCTTTTATTAAACACATCTAAGAACAACAGAATAGGGTAGAATATTAGTTACGCATGTTGTTTCCCAGTCGATACTGATATTAATACTTGTTTTTCTTAATAGTCTTGAAATTCGACACGAGTTCGTTCACATAGCTACATCGTAAAACGTGTTTTAATAAATCTTATGAAATTACGTGGCGTTATTGGTTAAAAGTTCATTGCATGTCTAATCCAACAAAGCATGATAAACAAAACAGATGAGAATGCTCGAGTTTGATTACAAATGTTTAATAAAACCATTAAAATTCAAATTTGCTGACATTTTTCAAAGTTAAATTCTGAGATGAAAACGAGAGTGCACAGTTTATTAACCAGGGGAGGATTACGAAATGTACCGATATTTATTTGGTTCTCAATTCATTACAGTACGTGATACATTAACAGTAAGAAATGAAAGTTCATATTCTACGCATGCGCCAGAGTAACCAATGTGATACACATGGATGATACACTCCATATTGTTTTAGACAGTAATATAACATTAGACAATAAATCAACGTTTGTTTTGAACGAATCAATATGTCATGATTTATTGACTTACATGTACATATCCAAATAACTTATCGTCAGCTAAAATCTTTGTTTGGCCATTTTTTTCCAAGACGGAGAGGCAGTGTATATTGTTGTTCACAACTGGAAGGGGTGATACTGCGAGAAAGTGTCTTTTATTTTCATCTACTGTATAAGTCGGAGTTGGACAGCCATATTTTTCTGGCGAGAGCACTGCAACTTCAGAACAATATATCCACATTTGGAACATGTCAGTTTTCAAAGTCAGTTACAACCACTGTATGTTGAAGACTTTGTACTAATATATTTGTAAGACCAGCTCTCAAGTGTAAGTTCGTGGACCTTTCTCAGAGTGATGATAGTAATTTCATTTACATTGTGACAACAGTGTGACCATTGGACGCTAAACCCTATGGCACATTCCTGGTCTGGCCTCTAGCTATGGACCCCCAGCTATCTGGTCTCATGTTAAAGGCATTCACGCTTTACCTGACAATAAGCGGCTGGGCATTGAAACTATTGGGGTAGAATGAAAAATAACACGTTAAAAACATAATTGATATTGATATTGGGGCATCGGTTTTGGGTCACGTGAGGTCGCGAGTACATTGACCTCAGGACTGGCTCTCCATGATTACAAAAGGATGTCATACTTAGTATGATAATTTCATTATAATGGAAGTCCGTCATAAGAAGGCCTTAAACTCGCAATTTGTGACACTTGCTGAGGAAATCAATCCCGAGTATATCTTTCCGTACCTGATCGAAGACGGCATTCTTACTCCGCATATGGCGCTTATCATCAGCACCGGTGGGACTGTTTACGACAAGGCTAATCGTCTGTTAAGCGTACTTCCGTCTCGCGGGCCAGGTGCATTTGGTTCGTTTTTGAGAGCTCTTGGTGTGTATTATCCGTGGTTGAAAGACGGTCTTATTGCGGCTGTTAATACAGGTGACGTCTGAGGTTGGTAGAAATCGCAAACCACCATTAAACAGTGGACAGAATGATAGCTAAGTACAAAATACAAAATAAGCTAACTACGTACTAGACACGATCCAGGGTAACCTAATACCGACATTTATTGATTTAAATTTGAAATCCTTTTAATTTGGTCAATTTTTTGATATGCTATTTTCGTGAAGAAATCGTTGAGCGGGGTAAGGCTACTAAAAATATCTTCTGTTCTACATAGTGCTGGTATATGCGTATAGGCGAGCTTTATATCGACAAGCAGCCATGTCAACTGAAGCCACAGTGAATACTACACAACAACATAGCAGTCCAAAAAAAGTTGCACATTATCTGAAATGTAATAAAACATTTGCATTACGGGCCTCCTAAAAATCCATAAGCTTGGCTATGTACTCATCAATCCCTCGAATTGTGACCCCAAATGTCCCTACGTAATAAAACCGCGCCCGGCCGCGTTCAAGTTAAAGTCGATCTCGAAGATTCGACCTGTTGTTTTACCTATTATGAAATATAATGTTTCGAAGTAAAATTGACCTTTTTGGAATTATTTCCATATGAATTAATTTTTGAAGGCATTATTTCATAAAAAAAATAATGCTCGATAAAATTTACCAATAATTCAGTACAGCCACAATTACCCATCTTGTAACTGCATACAATTTGTTCGCCTCATGTATCCGAACATAATTTTTAGATGTGATACAACTTTCTTAAAGATCATTATTTTCATGGGTGTTAGACTTTAATATTTTTGTGCAAACAGAAGTTCGACTATATTTTTTTATCTCGATTTTATGAGCAACAGCTAAAAGTCAAGGAAATCTGGCGATAAGAAGCCAACTATTGCTAGTCAGGGAAATCGATAAAGTATTCAAGATAAAACAACAATAAACAAGCAAACCCGCGGGCGAGCAATACATAGAAATCAGAGAGTTTTCTCAGAAATACGGCTATTTCTTCCGGGTGGAAGAACTATACGCGACTGTGCAACACTACTAAGCGTCACGGGTTCACATAGCAACGAAGTAGTCAGTCAGCTTCGTTCCAGGACCAGATCGTATTTACTGGTAGTTCCCATGATTTTCAATCACAGGAGCACCATGCAAGAAGAACACAGGAAGGCACTGACCAGTGTACACTTACAACTTTTGGACAATCTAGACCCGACTTATATTTTACCGTACATGACACAGGACGAAACTTTTACCAAGCCAATGTCGGAAGACATCATGTCGAGGTCGACACAACGCGACAGGGCGGACCGTTTTCTAGATATTTTGCCAACGAGAGGGCCAAACGCATTCAAATCCTTTCTCAATGCCTTGGGAAAAACGAATTCGTGGTTGAAATCGGTGAAAGGAAAAAAAAAACACATTTATGATTAGTATATTTGAGACTTCAATGTAACTTTGAAAGTCTACATAAACCAGAAACCTGATTGGCTTGTGGGTCAAAGGTTTGGGTCCAGCAGACAATCAGTATCAAAAATGTTGAAAAACGAATATTGACCAGAGTCTTTTATTGTTGGCCTTATTTTATTTCTACAATCATTGCATTTCAGATAATACTCAACTGTACCAGCCTCAGCCAACACCAAAATCATCACAACCAACATCAAGCAATGCGCCATCAGCGGCTGGTATGACCACACAGATGGCCAGTCTGTCTGTATCTGTGCAGTCAGATAGCGAGAGAGTTACAGAACAACAGTTGATGTTTGTGGCTGAGAAAATGAACGGCGACTGGGAAAGTCAGGCAATAAGACTTGGTTTCCAAAGCGCGGACGTCGCTCGATTTAAAAACGACAACAATGGAATGATTATGCAGATACATGCAATGCTCCGTGCCTGGAGGACAAAAAAAGGACCGGATGCAACATGTGAACGTCTCAAACAAGAACTGAAAGATGCTGGAGTTGACTTGGATGCTTATGGGCTCCTATGAAATTGACAGACAAATGTAAATAATTAAACAAAATAACTTATACAGAATTGTGAAAGGTCATGCAACCGCGTGGGACCCTTATTGATTGCAATGTGTCGTGACCACGAAGCTTTTTAATTTCACATGGACAAACCGAGTGTGTGACATCTTTGAATGAACATGTTGCAATTACCCGGTATGCGAAGAGTGACTCGACCCTTTATAAAAATAAAATAGTGAATTGAATATCATCTGTTCCCTTCACATTATAGACGTATTTTATTCAGTCAAATAAGTATGGTCACTAAAACTACTTTAGGCCACACACAGTCCCTGTGTTTAGGGACTGTGTTTAGGCACAAACAACAGTTTCAACTTTTGAATAGTCATTTTAGAGCAATTTTCCATTGGTTTCTATGGTAAAAGTGTTTTATTATATATATCAACGTTTTGTCCTCAATATAATACAAATTATTATATATCCATTACTGTAACCTACCCAGAATAATATAATTTCCGGTATTAGCAATTAATGTGCAAACCAGGAAGAAGAATCCAATTATTATGCAAATTTACAAGGTTATTGGATTCAGTTTGACTTCTTGACCTCATCAGCAATTCAATGTAACTTATGAAAATATATTTTCCTAAGTGAAAACAAAATAAAATAATGTTGATTCAAAACTCTATAATTTGACTCTGTCTTGTAACCTTGTATGAACAAGGAAATGTTGACTGTGGTTATCAACAAGGTCCGTTAATACAACCGTATTCCAATGCTGATCTTCAAAGCTGATCACTTCTCTCGGTCGCCACTACATGTAACCATGGACCTATTATGTACATTTAGTTGCGACATTACTTAACCTTACAAGTCTCTGACATTATCTTTGCTATATGATGTACTGTGACACAAGTTCTGTTATTTTTATTAATAACTATAAAATAATATAGCTCCTATTTGAAAATGTTGATAATTAATATATATTTTTCCTGAAATACATGCTTTACAGAGCAAATCCTATGAAAAAATATTCCTTTATTATTCCCTTTCACACTTTTTTTTTCTTGGGTTGAAAAAACATAAGTTGATCACTTTTGCTCAAATCAATAATTATGAAATTCAATCCTATTTTATTGGTTGAACTACATGTAAACAACATTAAAATCCATTTCAGTCAGGAAAAATACCAAAAAATTGATAATAATAACAACACACTGATGGCAAGAATCACTTTTGTAATCAATTGTTTTTATTTTCGTAATAATGTCATTTAAATAAATAAAAAACATAAACTCATAGACATAGGCAAGGTGTAAAATGTAATCTGCTATTATATTTGTCCGTAATTTGTACAAAGATCTTTTTTTTGTTGTGTAATTAGTACGCAATTTCCAATTTTGATTCATAAACACAAATTATCAAATATATTATAAAAATGTAATTAGGAATTTGCTTTATCTGTAAAGTGTAAAAACCTATTTTTACTGTAAATGGAACTTTTATTTTATTTCCTGTAAAAACGCAAAATGCTTTTTTTATTTCCTGTAACCTGTACCAGCTATCCTCTCTTGCCCCCCCCCTGTAATATTTAGACCAAAAACATGTGACACACATCAGAGTTCCCAATTAAAAAATATTTTCAACAATGATGAGATGAAGATCATAATAACAAACAGTTCATGCTAACCTTTAACAAAGTAAATATTTGAGTAAATTGGGGATACCTGCAACTGTAATTGTCTTGTCAGGCTGCTGGTACAACCGGTAATGGCTGGCCATATGGGTACTGATTT